AATTCGTTGGGTATCATGCTTTAATGATTAACAGTAGACGATATAAGCCAAGGATTTACTTTCGGTTAGGATGTTTTGGGCTTTTTGAGGGACAAAAAGTACCCTAAGCATTCTAATTATTATGATAATAGAATATCATTCAGTATTATAGGGTCATGCTTAAGGCTTTACGGCAAACCCACAAAAATATTCAACGCATCATGTGTATTTAAGCAAAACCTTTAATTCTTATGTGTTTTTGGTCACTTCAAACAGCTGATCACTAACAATTGGTTCTAATATGTTTTTGTTTCTAATAGTCTATATAAAATGTGTACATATTGAAAGGAAAACGGCATCAAGGTCAGCAACCTAAGTCTATTTTAGATAACACCTTTGTAAAGAAATAAGCCCGGCCTCAGCAGTACGAAATTTCAGTTAAGTAACCAGCTTTTCAAGCTACCAAAGAACTTTCGGATGTGCTGGATATAATATCTTCCTAAAAATTAACGACAATTCGACAAAGAATACGTTCGCGTACAAATATCAAAAAAATTTTAACAGTTTTCTTACGCGGAAAGACGTTTTAGGTATCACTTACTTCCGACAATTTTTCAGAAGAACCTGCATTGTTTTTCGCTTGTTCTGAGATAATCTCCTTACTGGGTTTCGTTTCCGGGAGGCAATACAGAGTGGTCCGACAGTTTTCCAATTCGCAGCTAAACTGACTAGACGCGAGACATCAAGAAGTCCACTCCCGTAGCGATCGTTGACAAGGAAGCCAGCGGAGTTGACAAACCAGTCCTTAGAGTCAGCCCTTGGAATTCGACCAGAGTAAGCCAGAAGTGCCCGTATGTCCCTGGACGTCAGCTTTGGGCTGAAAGAACAGAAGCAGCATTCACACGAGTTATTTCAATTTGCTGAAGTACACAGGACTGCATTTTATGAACACTTCACGGTGGAACAGCCACCAGAGTTGTTTTCTTATGGTTTCTTTCTTATAATCTCGCACGGCGAAAAGGATTAACCGACAATTGCAGGATGCGTGTTTTAAATGGGATTCAGTAGAATAACTGTTATTACACACAATTGGAGATGCTTCTAGCCTATCAAATTATAAAAATTGGACGAAGCTGTCGACCGCCTTCAGCTGGTTAATTATACGATTAGTTCCTAAATAAGTTCACAATTGCTTTGAAGCCATAGGCTTTATAATGAGATAGTCAGCAGTTCATGAAATGTAAATTCAACTTCTATTTGGAGAGGCTTACTAACGATAATTGTGCATGGTCAACTTCCATTTTTTAATCTGTATTACATCACTTCCATTACCAGTATTACGTTCGGTTATGTCAACTGATAAAAAATTCGGAAGTACTTATTTCCATATTGTTTGAATGGAGCGTGTGCGGCTTTCAACCGGCTAAAGTATTTGTAGCAAGTTGGCCATAGCAGACGAATCAGTAAGTACACATCAGGTCAAAAGTCTTTCCGATATATTCTATCTTTAGATGTCTAGATTTTCTGTTTGTTTCGCGTAATACGTGTGGTCAACCGTTTACCATTTAAGAAGGAAGTTAACTCCCGTGCAGCTACTTTGTTCATTTGGCATATCCCCGATGCTAAATTTGAAAGAGGAATGGTTATAATTATTCATTTATACAGGGCGTACAGAAATTAATTGTATGGGTAGCAGATGAGTTTTTACAGAGATCTCTACCATCCTCATCAGGATAGCTCTGTCAGAAATAATTTTATGTGTATACATGAAGAGGTGGTGTTTGAAGATCAGGTAATGGAATACATACGTCTCGGTTTTGCCCTGGAACTCACTTAAGAGTCCTTGCAAGCAATCGCATAGCAACCACTAGGAGAGTATGGGATAGAATTGGCACACACACAGGGCAGCAGAGTAGCCATTATTGGTGTATTATCCGTCATAGAATCCCAGGTGATCCACACCTGGAATTGGGTATGATTGGCCGATGGCAGCTGATAAGCCTGAAATGGCCATTTCGGTCTCCTTTCTCTTTGTAGATTCTAGTCTATATACATACATGTATTTTTTTAAATCACAAACTAAAACGCATGTACTAAATGGCTTCTGAGAGCAAAAAGAAGCTTTACATGTTTAAAAAAGT